TCACTCCAAAGAAGGATAGAGCTTTGGAACAACAGTACACCTATCACATAATGCTAGATTTAGACTATGAGCGCCACATGGAGTATTGAAAGCTCGAGGATTCATTTTATGGACTCTTCTTTGCACACCTTTGTGATTCCCGCTCATGTTAGATCCGTTGTCATACCCTTGCCCTCTAATGTCATCAATATCAAGATTAATTTTTATCAAAGCCTTTTGAAGCTCGATTGCAAGTCCAAGTCCTGTTGTGTCATCTACCTTCAAAATTTCTAGCCAATGTTCTTCAATTGTAGGCAAGTTTGCCGAATCATCTACAAATCGTACAATTAAAGACATTTGCTCTTTGTGACTTGCATCTGGAGTACAATCAAGTATAATTGCGAAATATTTTGCATGTTTAACTTTCTTGACAATTGAACTTCTCACCTGATTAGCCAACAACTGTATCAACTCATTTTGAATTTTTTTGCCAAGATACGTATATTGAATCTCTCTTGCTTTAGCCCGCCTAAGGTGCTCTTGCATTACTGGATCAAATTCACTAACCATTTCCACCATTTGTAAAAATAGGCCATTGTTCTCAACATGTAGCCTCTCATCATCTCCTCGAAATGGCAATGTGTTTTTGTCGCAAATCTTTTCACAATAGCGATTATCCTTGTTAATACATGTCTCCAATGTTCTCTTTCAGCATCAATCAACAATTCAATGCTTTTATCAATTGTAGTTTTTGATTGAAACCTATTTTCCAATTCAATCCAACTAGTCATGCAACGTAAATGCTCCTCATTTCCTTCACGACATTTAATAGACCGATGCAAATTATGCCAATCTTTGAATCCATCATTACCTAGTTGGCCAACTTTGGTCACATTTATTGGTGTTTTAAACAACTTGCAACAAAACAGAAGATCCTATCCATAGATACTGAATATACTAGCCATCTTCTATCAACTGTTTTCCCATTTGGTAGCAATCGCTTATATTGTGAAGAATCGAAATGTCTATTTGTATAGTCTTTCGAAAACGAGATGTTGTCAACTCTTTTTGGACCCCTTTCAACTAAGTAATCCCTTGTTCTTTGATCAATAATTTTCGATTCCCAGGATCATCCAAATTTAGAGAAAAGCAACCCTCTTCTTCCTTATCATCTTCTTCATTATTAGAGGCGGGCTTCATCACTTCTTCCTTTTCATCTATTTCGTTAACATCGGTAGGTTGACTCACTTTTTTATCCCTATCATCTACTTCATTAACATGGGCATGTTGAATCTCTACTTCATCCTCATTCAACACATTCACATTGTTGCTTTTGAAGTACTTGTTAATATCCCCTACTTGACTTTGAATTAATGTAATTTCGTTTCATTTCCTTTTCCTCTTTTGAGCACCAGACTCATGTTTAGGAGGCATAGTATAGGAGTGAATATCTAATGTCCAATGATTAACCTAAAAAACAATTACACAATATCTCAATCATCTCACAATTATAATTTCAAATATAGTTACTATGTGCGCCTGTGCAATTGTTCATCGTACAATAAACAATCATATAAGCCAACCAGGATGCAATTATATAAGCCGACAAGGCTTCAAACATTTCCAATATCTTCAACAACAAGTCAAGGCAAGTCATTACTTACTTGAGAAGTGGAATTTTGATGAAGATTGTGGAATTACACCGTTGAGAATGATCCCATTTTCTGAACTAGGAGTAAGTCGATCGCAATTTTAAAAATGTTAATAATAGCTCCAAGTGCTTTCACAATGGCCCCTACAAATTGATACAGAGACATCTCTTAGAATCAACTAAAATTAAGGGGGTAAAATTAGAAAGAAGAAAGCAAGACAATTAAAATACCATAATCCGCATTCCATAGACATCAAAGTTGAAAAGCATTAACTTGCAAGTTTAAATGGTACCTAAAGTATGAGTAAAATATACTCATCATTAATCCAAATAAATAGGTCATCCATTTAGTGAATGGGCTATGAGCAACCATTATTTAAAATGTTTCTTCAAATGACCCACGTAATTTTTCAGGTCGAGCTATTAAATGTGGTGTTGATTTCCTATTTCAACCATCAGTCGGAATCTATGAAATTAACCTTTAAACATCATCACCTGTTGGAGGTTGTTTAGCAGCAAATAGCCTACAAATAGTTTTTCTAACCTTCACAATTCTTTATTATTATTATTTTTAACCTCCTCTTATGTGTATTTTTACCCATGGGGACACTAACGTGTTCAATTAGCGGGCTAGACAATTGTTTTGTTAGCCATGTAGTGAATAGAATGTCTATTAATAATTTTGGACAGCTCTTTTTGGAGATTTTAATTAAAGCTTGTAATTAATGATGGGGAAAAGTTAATGAAGATGAAGCCATGAGCACTCGTTCTCTCACTCACTCTGAAGTTAATTAAATCATATGATTTTAGAGTTGGAAGAATGGTTGAAGATAGCAAAGAAGAAGGGACAATATTTGTACAAAAAGGTTTTCACAGTAATGCGCTTGTGCTAAGTACTGTTAACTCAGAATTTTAGACCATTATATGCAGACGAGCTACCAAATTTATGGGATGTGAACATCAAGTGCACGTTTATTGCATATTTCGAGCAAACTACTTCCATTTCTCACTCATTGTTTTGCATCCACTCTCTCATATACTTGACACTCTTCCCTTTCTAAAATTTTCAATCCAAGTTCAAGATATCCTTACCATTTTGGATTTGCTGAAGCAAGTGTTAGGGGGAAAAATGATATTCAAATTTGCTTAGGTCAAAGAAAGAGTCAAACACTATTTGAATGGTTTCTCATTGGTTGAAAATGCTTAAGGAAGAAGAATTTGATCCGATTAATGTTTTTTGCTTCTGTGGCGATGTCTCTAAACCAATTTGAAATTAATACTATTTCACTCTAGTCCCTTCACTATCAAAATATATAAAAATATATATATGTGGACCAAAATAATTCTATAAAATTTTGTGACTTTATAGTATATACACACAGGCTATCTAATTTATGGGATGTAAACATCAAGTGTATTTTTCATGCACACTACTTACGTTTCTTACTCTCATTGTTTCATCATATAAATACATACTCAACACATGTCCTGATGTCCCTATGTTTTGAACCGATTACAAAAGGCCCCCCTATCTTTCCAAATTGGCTGAAACAACCCCCCTTGCCCCCGCCCCAACAAAACATAAAAATAAAAATAAAATATGACCTTTGAGGTGAGGAAGACCCCTTTTTTCATTTTCTAAATAAAGCATTGTGAAATGACGAATAATCCATATATTTCAATAATAAAAAATCAAAAGAAGAAAAAAAATAAAGAACTAATTTCGACTGTAGTCCTAGTTTTTCCCCAAAAAATAAAAATAAAAATAAATAAAATAAAAGGAGGTACAAACGAGTCCCAAATCAATAATTAAAAAATTAAAATTAAAATCCCTTTCATCACCACCACCACCACCATTAAATAATAGCATAAATCAATTCCAATACCTTCTATCAGAATATAGGGGAAAATCTGAATACTTGTTGAATCAATACAAAGAAACCCAATTCCATTTTAAAACCCGACTTCATTTTTCCATTTTAAACTTAAATAATCTCAAAATCAACAAAGAACCTAGAACCATTTTCCAATAAATGCATCCACATACATAACCAATATCACCGACAGAAAAGAACAAAAAAAATCTTGAAACAAAACCAAAGAGTGCTTATAAGGGTTGCACCTCAAGAGCATTTTTAAGCAAGAGATCATCTTCTAAAATCCAGTTCTAAAGAGGTACCACTGTCGAGTGATCGGACGGTGCAACGAACAAACGGAGAAGACACAGACACAGACACTTAGACGAGCAGTAGCACCGGAGCACGTTGACATCGAGAAGATTAGCAGCAGCCCTAAATCGTATAATTCATATTTAGATTTTGGAATTTGGGTAAATGGGTTGTGATATTGGATTTGGATATATGAGTTGGGTTGAGTTGGAATTTTAGGGTAAATGGATTGTGGGTTGCTGGATAAATAGTTTTGGGCTGACTCATATTGTTTTAAAAAAATTAGGGCCAAAAATAGGCCCTTTAATGGTCTTGGGCCTGAGGCGCGGGCCTCACTGGCCTCACCCCAGGACTGGGCCTGCATGCATGGTCCAGAGATAAAAATGAAATTATGTGCAAGATCGCACATGCACCGAAATTGTCTCATTGAATGATAATATTTTCCTTTTTGTGAATTTTTTTTGTTAACAATCAGTTAAAGTATTGGAAATACTCTTAGTTACTCGTGTCATTGTTGTATTGCTTATTCAGTGGTATGAGAACCTCTCAAGTTACAGCTTATAGACCAAATAGGCCGTTTGGAAAGAATTTATGCACAATTTGATACTATATAGGCTGGTACTGTTTTTCGCACGGATTAAGAAATCTTATTCAATGTTATCGAAAATGTAATTTTACCTTTATTTATATTTCTACAATTTCAAAATTAAGTAGGAAAAATTGGTTGTAACTAGAAAAATTAAATAAGAGTATATTAGTAAACAAACTAAACAAAACATCTCAATAAAGAAACATAATATATAATTGGAACAAAAAAATAGGAAAGTCAATCTATATAAATGAGACAGAGGGAGCATATAAATAGCTAGAAGTGGTGATCCATTAAAATGTGTGGTTGAAAATAAAATTTGACGATTTATAAATTAATTTATAAAGCTTGCCAAATGAAGGCTAGTTGACTCTCAATCCTACTACTAAACTAAAATTGAGTCGGGTTTATCAGCACCAAACAAGGATCCAACCATGATGAACCGTCACTTCAGACAAGTGCATTTGGAAATGTAACAGTTCAGTGCCTTGAAACTAATAGCCCTATTGTGATAATATTTCGACATAAATCAAAGAATTTAGAGCATGTTTGAATTTTATTGTGTATTACCATTTCCTCTGTAGGATTGAGATATATTTAACATTAACCCAGATAAACAAATATAATGTCATCTCGTACAACTGTTTCTTCACAATATGCATACAATTATTTATGAATCAAAGATGACAATATGAATTATTATAACAATTTTGTACATAATGACACAAATATTTGTTAAATTAATAGATAGTTTGGTTTTTAAAAATATTATATACTGGAAAAAGTTTTACATAACAGATGTTCTTTCATCGTTAAAGGTGTACGTCTCAAAGAAGTGGGCATCCAAAAAGCTTTTAAGGAACCTGAAACAATTGAGAAATTTAAGTAAGTTAACATTAGAGAAGAGGTGCCAGCGACATGTTTTGCTCAGTAGTTAGGATTTGACATTGAATACCATACCTACAGCAATTGAGATTGTTCATGTTTATGGGTAATATAAAATAAAGGTACTGGTTTGTTATAAAAAAAAAAAATACAGGAACACCATATAATAATATATTATATTCTTGAAAGTTGTTATAAAAAGTACAGCATATAACATTTTGAAGAACTAGAGAATGACCAAGAAAATTAACAACTGCAAGATTAGATGGAATAACAGAATAGCAAATCGAGGTGCACACAAACATAGTTTCATTAAAATTGATTCACTTCCTTACCACATGTGCTTGAAGCTAACTGAGTGTCCATTCCAGGAATATTGAACGTCTGTTCCAGGTGTATAACGATGAAAATTCAGTTAAGTCTTGTTGCAACTTTTGGCTGGTCTGTGTGTGGCCAAGGCCCGTGCGTTGCTCATTTAGTTTTTTTGCCATGCATGTTCCAAAGATAAAAATCAAATTACGTGCATGCACCAAAATTATCTCATTGAATGATAATATTTTCATTCTGTGAATTTTTTTTGTTAACAATCACTTAAGAGTATTGGAAATACTAGTTACTCGTGTCATTGTTGCATTGCTTATTCAGTGGTAATGAGGACCTCTCAAGTTAGAGCTTATAGAACAAATAGGCCGTTTGGAAAGAATTTATACACAATTTGACACTCCTATAGCATTTATATAGGTTGGTATTGTTTTTCCCACGAATTAAGAAATCTTATTGAATGTTATTAAAAAAGCAATTTTTACCTTTATTTGTACAATTTCAAGATTAGGTAAAAAAAATTGGTTATAATTAAGCAAATTGAATAAGAGCATATTAGTAGACAAACTAAACAAAACATTCTCAATAAAAAAAATAACTATATAATTGGAAAAAAAAATAAAAAGTCAACCTATATAAATGAGATGGAGGGAGTATATAAATAGATAGAGTGGTTATCCATTAAAATGTGTGGTTAAAAATAAAATTTGACCATTTACAAATTAATTTATAAAGCTTGCCAAATGGAGGCTAAATGACTCTCAATCCTACTACTAAACTAAAATTGAGCCAGGTTTTCAGCACCAAACAAGGATCCAACCATGATGAACCGTCACATTCAGACAAGTGCATTTGGAAATGTAATATGACTTATTATAACAACAATTTTGTACATAATGTCACAACTATTTGTTGAGTTAATGGATAGTTGGGTTTTTAAATATATTATATTCTGGAGAAAGTTTTACATAACAGATGTTCTTTCATCATTAAACATGTACGTCTCAAAGAAATGCACATCCAAAAAGCTTTTAAGGAAACTGAAACAATTGAGAAATATAAGTAAGTTAACCTTAGAGAAGAGGAGGCAGCGACATGTTTTGCTCGGTGGTTAGGATTTAACATTGAATACCATACCTACAGCAGTTAAGACTGTTCATGTTTATGGGTAATATAAATAAAGGTACTGGTTTGTTAGAAAAAAAATACAGGAACACCATATAATAATATATTATATTCTTGAAAGTTGTCATAAAAAGTACAGCATATAACAACATTTAGAAGAACTAGAGAATGACCAAGAAAACTAACAACTGCAAGATTAGATGGAATAACAGAATAGCAAATCGAGGTGCACATAAACATGTTTCATTAAAATTGATTCACTTCCTCACCACATGTGCTTGAAGCTAACTGAGAATCCATAATATTACACATGTTAAGTGTTAAAGATAGAAATATTGTCAAGAATATTTTCCATAATATTTTTCCTTTTAGTGTAAGATTATTTTCTTTATTAGTTGATTGTGTAATTAATACACAATCTTTCATTTTATGTTTATTTCCTTTTAGTGTTATTTGTAACCCTATAAATAGGATCTTCTACATTGTAATAAATAAGAGCTTACATTATAATATCACTTTTATTTTTCTTAACATGGTATCAGAGCGGGTTCGATACTAAACAAATCAACTTTTGAATTTCGCTTCCAGTGTGTGGCCTTGGGCCGCTCGTCCAGTCATATTTTTATTTTCTTGCTCCCGACCAACATTTTTCTAGAAAAGAATATTTTTTTTCAAACCTCCAAAACAATCCGACAGATTGGAAGCAAGTTGGGGGAATTAAGAAGCTGCTGAAAAAATTTATGCATAGAAGTCAAAGAAGTGTTGATGGAAGAATTCTTTATAAATAAACAATTTAAGAACATGCAATTTGGGAATGACATGGGATTTATTGAATATTGGCTTGATGGCATGGAATTTCATGCATCTTCCCTAACTAGGTTCTGCTATATGTTCATCCGAGGAGGAGCTCAATAATCTTATAAAAAATTTGCAATAACGCATTCAACATGAAAGTATTCCTCTAAATGAAGAGAAGTAAATCATAATTCTCCTTCTATTTCGTGTTTTAATTTTTTAGAATTGTTTAAAAAAATAAAATAAAATAAAATTTGTTTTTCCCCTTTTTTCTTGGGAGTTTTATTATGCTTTATTTGGAGGGTCGGTACCTTGAACTTTACCAGCTATCCCCTGCCTCTTGAAAAAATAAGAGGTTCTCTTATGTTGAAAAAAAAAAAAAAAGGTCGGTACCTTGAATTTTACTGGCACTCCCCCTACCACTTAAATAAACTAGACGTTTTTTTATGTTTAAAAAAAAAAAAAAACTTTGAAGGGTCGGTGCCTTAAACTTTATCGGCTCTTTCCCTTGCCTCTTAAAAAATTTAGGGGTTTCTTATTTAAAAAAAAAAACTTTTGGAGGGTCGGTATCTTCAACTTTATCGGCTCTCCCCCTACCCCTTGAAAAAAATCAGAGGTTTATTTTTATTTCTTTGGAAGGTCAGTACCTTGAACTTTACCGACTTTTTCCATATTTTTCTATTGTTTAAGCAATTTAAAATGTTTTTGCTAAACCTAAAACATTAGTTTTTCTCATACACTTTCTTCCTTATTTTTCACCTTTAAAAGAAAAAAAAGGAAAAAAGTCCATCAAAATATTTTCTTCCAGTAAACAAGAAGACGCCTATCTTCATCAACAATGACAAAGACATCAAGTGCTTAGAGTTCATTCTACATCAGTTTGAAAGATTTGATTGGATTGATTTCTTCAAACTCAAAATTCTATACCATATTGAGTTCGAGGGGAAAGTGTTAAAGATAGAAATATTGTCAAGAATATTTTCCATAATATTTTTTTCTTTTAATGTAGGATTATTTTCTTTATTAGTTGATTGTATAATTAATACAGAATCTTTTCTTTTAATGTTATTTGTAACCCTATAAATAGGGTCTTCTAAATTGTAATAAATAAGAGCTTACATTATAATATCACTCTTATTTTTCTTAACATGGTATCAGAGCGGGTTCGATTCTAAACAAATCAACTTTTGAATTTCGCTTCCGGTGAGTGGCCTTGTGCCGCTTGTCCGGTCATTTTTTTTTCTTGCTACCAACCAACTTTTTTTCTAGAATAGAATATTTTTTCAAACCTCCAAAACAATCCGACAGATTGGAAGCAAGTTGGGGGAATTAAGAAGCTACTGAAGAAATTTATGCATAGAAGTCAAAGAAGTGTTGATGGAAGAATTCTTTATAAATAAACAATTTAGGAACATGCAATTTGGGAATGAGATGGGATTTATTATTGAATATTGGCTTGATGGCATGGAATTTCATGCATCTTCCCTAATTGGGTTCTGCTATATGTTCATCAGAGGAGGAGCTCAATAATCTTATCAAAAACTTGCAATACCGCATTCAACATGAAAGTACTTCTCTTAATGAAGAGAAGTAAATCCTAATTCTTCTTCTATTTCGTGTTTTAATTTTTTAGAGTTGTTTAAAAAAAAAAATTGTTTTCCCCCTTTTTTCTTGGGAATTTAATCATGGTTTATTTGAAGGGTCCGTACCTTGAACTTTACTCGCTCTCCCCCTGCCTCTTGAAAAAATAAGAGGTTTCTCTTCTGTTGATTAAAAAAAAAAACCTTCGGAGGGTCGGTACCTTGAATTTTACTGGCACTCCTCCTACTACTTAAACAAACTAGCGCTTTTTTTATGTTAAAAATTAAAAAAAAAAAATTGAAGGATCAGTACCTTGATCTTTATCGGCTCTTCCCTTGCCTCTTGAAAAATTTAGGGGTTTCTTATTTTAAAAAAACTTTTGGAGAGTCGGTATCTTGAACTTTATTAGCTCTCTTCCTGCCTCTTAAAAAAAATCAGAGGTTTATTTTTATTTCTTTGGAAGGTCGGTACCTTGAACTTTACCAGCTTTTTCCATATTTTTCTATTGTTTAAGCAATTTAAAATGTTTTTGCTAAACCTAAAACATTAGTTTTTCGTGTACACTTTCTTCCTTATTTTTCACCTTTAAAAAAAAGAAAGAAAAAAAGGAAAAAAAGGTCCATCAAAATATTTTTCTTCCAACAAACAAGAAGACGCTTATCTTCATCAACAATGACAAAGACATCAAGTGCTTGGAGTTTATTCTACATCAATTTGAAAGATTTGATTGGATTGATTTCTTCAAACTCAATATTCTACACCATATTGAGTTTGAGGGGAAGGTGTTAAAGATAGAAATATTGTCAAGAATATTTTTCATAATATTTTTTCTTTTAATGTAGGATTATTTTCTTTATTAGTTGATTGTGTAATTAATACATAATCTTTCCTTTTATGTTTATTTCCTTTTAGTGTTATTTGTAACCCCATAAATAGGGTCTTCTACATTGTAATAAATAAGAGCTTACATTATACTATCACTCTTATTTTTTTAACATTATGTACCCTTGTAGATTAACTATCACGATGTGTGCAGATTGTTGACACAGGCTTTGGCCGTTCTAGTGTTTGAAGAAGGGGTGATGTTGGGAGATAATTTTTATATTTTTTACACAAAAGAGGCTGTCAACGGTTGCTGTTGGTGTTGGTTTTACTGAATGGTTGGTGGAACAGATGCAGAAAATGTTTTGTGTTCGTTACAAGTAGAGAAGAAACTGTTAGCGATTAGTGTTTCAGCCGCCTTCAACAACAAAATCTAGGTTTTAGTTTTGATACCAAATGATTTATCAATGGAAATATTTAACAGAGAAAGAAAAAGCAATCTGAGAAGAAGAACAGTAGAAGAAAGGAAAGAAGAAGTGAAGCAAGCGGCAGAGAGGGGGACCAGAGAGAATGAGGGGAGAAGACCAAAGGAGAAGAGATTTAGGGAGGAGAAAACTTGTTAACCAGGCATTTCATTGATATTCATCAATCATCATCTTCTTTGAAATTACATTACCAAGCTATTCGACAAACCTGGAAAGTAAATGGGCTTGGGCCAGACCTGATTATACAATCCTAATTTAAACTAAACAAAACATATATCAAAGTAGCCCAAAACATATATGGGTGATGACCGCATCAAGAATACTCACAAAGATTTTCAACAAGATTCAATTAACCTCCCAATTAAACAAAATTGCAAACAGATTTCATTTTCTCTTATTCTAAATGTAACTCTCAATTGCCTTTCAACTCTCTTACAAAGAGGTCACTTGCTTCTTCAGATCTGCAAAAAGAAGGGGAAAAATTGAGAGAGAGAATAGAATTAAACTTAGGAATCAAGAAAAAATGACTAAAAGGACGATTTAAGCGAGTTAAGAGATTTTGTGAGGCAATAATTTTGTTGAGAAATGGTTACGACCTGCAAAGGAGAGTTTGTGAAATACTGGGTTGGGAAGTTAATTTGCATGTTGAAATTAATCTCCTAAGCACCCGTGCACTAAGTGACATGACACACTATAATATGTGGTATAATCAATGTTGTAATCAATCATTATCTTCCACCACCTATTATATTATGCCTTGTCACACTGGTACTTAGCATAAGATAAGCACAAGTTGTTATGAGATTAGTCATGTTGAATATGTTTAATTAAAGTGGGCTATGTTAGGGTTGACTTCTATTATATTAATTTAAGTATAATATATATTTAATTAATAGAATTTTTAATAAGAATGTTATAAAAAGTAGAACATGTTGTAGTGTAAGTGGAAATTTTCGAAAATAATTATACTTGCTCATTTACCCTTTTTTTTTAAATCGAAAATCCAAGTTTGCATCAGTTATTAGTTCCCAATATATATAATTGACAAAGTAATTATAATTTTCTCTTATGTTCCTTTTAGTATGTCCAATTTGATGCAAGTCACCGCTAGTTTATAATGAAGGAAAGCCATTGCTCAGCAAAGAGTAACTTCATATGGACAGCTAGTTGAAAAGCGGTATACTTTAATCTCTACCCACTATATGGCACATGATTTCAATAACTGTCACAATCCTAATTACTGAAAAGTATTGAAAGGATGTCCACCTGTGAGAATGCTAGAGTGGAAAGCATTGTTACTCAATAGTGATAAAGGTGAATAAAAGCAATACAAATTATCAGCATATTGTATATAAAATAATTTATTCACCAGTGTGATTAGGTATTATGGTTATTTTAAGAACTGATAGTTTGAAAACGCAATTAAGACAAATTAGATATCATGAAATTTTCTCCACAAATTAGGTATCATGATGATATAAAATCGACCATTGACATGTTTTGACAAATGAAGAGTATCATAATATGCAATGAACAAAATGCTTTGTCTTTTTCTAGAACAATCTACTAATGCTATATTACTTTAAATTAAATACACATAGAACTTACAAACTCATATGTCGCAGGTGTTCTGTCAGTTCCTTTATAAATTTTCTCTCCTACAAAAAATAATGGAAAGAAGAAAAAGACTATAAAGTAGATTAAACTTAAGTAGTATACATCTTTTACACGTCATTTCACATACACGTCGAATTCATTTTTCCACCATGTGCTTGACAAAAAAGCAGGACAACGCCAAGTAGGTGTTGTGCATGCTAATCAAATTATTGAAAAATAAAAATTGCTTTAAAGGGACTACATTTAGGGGCATACCTACTTTAAGAAATTAGGCTCTTTTTTTTTTTTCCTTCCTTCCCATGCTTTTACTTCACAAAATGCCACCAAAAGGGAAAAAAAAAAAAAAAAAAAAAAGGGAAAAAGAATTCTAGTTTATAAAATTGGTGCCAAAAAAAATATAACCCAATCCCAAAATCCCGTGTTTAGGCCAGCTCTAAATTTTAGTAAAGTCCAAACTGTAATTGAAGTTAAACCCATAGCTATAATCATTCATTTAAATATTGTTTTCGCATGACCCCTGGCATGTAGACTAAACTCATTTTATCATCCCAAGTCTTGAACAAAATTAATCAATGCAAGGTTACGACCTTTGTCTACTTTGATCGAAATTAAGCTTTTCTCCTTTAATCTCAAGCCAATATACAATTGAAACACGATCTTTCAGATTCTGAATGAGAGATCCTGAATTGAAACAAATGGCACACAAATATGTCCTCCCAATCTAAGGTTTTATCCATTGTATATGTTAGAAAGTCAACTTTGCACCCAGTTAAGTACTTGTAAACAAAACAAGCTATATCCATGAAGTAAAGATTCTTGTGAGCCAAAATAAAATAAAATAAAATAAAGGGGTTCTAAATTTAGAAATATGTTTACTCCCACTTTAATAGGCTAACAGAGAATTGGAATAGAAGATAGAGTTCATACTTTGCTATCACTCATTTATGAAAAATTATCACGTATCATACCTTTTATGAAGTTTATTTTGGTATGCATGTGAGAGCTTAGTGTTGAAAGACTAAAGTTGAATAAACAGTGCAGTTAATATAAATGGATTTTTTTCTTAGTAGATACTTATGCCCAAGGGAAACTTTTACCTTATGATAGTAGTAAGCAGGGAAAGGTATGTTTCCATAATAATTGGAAAGGACATGAACCTCAAGGTCATAGTTCCCCCCGTCTTCTTGTTCCTCTAGTATTGAATTTGCCGATTTCACAACAGATGTTGAACACCTATACAAGAAGATTTGCTGAAGAGTTGGAATTTCTCCAATTCCAGGAGGGATGCATTTTAAAGAAAAGCAATTTTTAAGACGTAGGCACTGTAAGCTTGGGAAATGTGCTGCCTCGGCTTCCCAGATTTTAAACTGAGTCGCTTCAACATGCAGGAATTTTAATCGAGAAAATTCCCCTTCCGTTTTCCATGCATTGCTCTCGAGGTCAACCTCTTTTAGTTTGAGAACTTCAAGATTGGGAAGATTACCAACAAGAAACATATTATGCATAGAAATTCTGCAACCACTCAAAGTCAACTTCTTCAGATTTGACGGCAAAGCAAGGTTCTGAGGCAGATGAACGTTTTCCCTGGAAATGACGTTGCACTTAAAACTTTCAAGTTGACGCAGATGGACTAAATTCTCAAGACAATAGAATGACAACTCAGTTTGAGTTTCACAATGGTAAGAAATTCCCAATGTCCTCAGATTAGGAATTGTTCGAAGGGCCTCCTGAGTCAATTTGAAGTCTATTACACCAGAAAGTGTTTGTAGGTTCACATTTTGTGGACCATCAGAACAAAGAAAGGCAGCTTCATTGAACAAGAGATGCCTTAACCGTGTAATCTTCAAGAGTTCCAGTGGTAAGAACAATCTTTCAGCATAAGAAGCTCGAAAAACAATCAAGGTCTGAAGATTGCAAAGTCTAGATATTGAGGCAGGAATCTCGAATTTCCCACTGTAGGACAAAGCAATATACCTTAAATTAACAAGTTTTACTATTTCAATTGGAAAATCACAGAAATTTATATTTCCTGCTTCCAACACCCTGAGCAGCTGAAAACATAGAGAATTTGGCAATGGACTATCCGTTAAGTATAGAAGTGAACGGATAGTTGAGTCATATATGACTGCATTCTGCCCATTCGGATGAATACTTAGGTGACGCTGATTTTTCACGACTTCCGAAGAAATATCAAATTCTTGATTGGCGACATAAAGAAACTTCTCCTCCTGAGCTTTCCTCATGCAAAGTTCTCTCATCATGTCATGGATGCTGCAGGTTTTGATTTTCCCAATGTAATTCTGGTCACGAACCACAATTAGATTTCTATCAATAAGTTCTTCCAAATACTCCTTTGCCACTTCCTCCAAACTTTTATGTGTGTTTGGCTTTAAAAATCCCTCAGCAACCCATAGCCTGATAAGATGGGAGACATGGATCACATAATCTTCAGGGAAAACTCCCATATAAAGGAAACATGCTCTAAGACGATGAGGCAAGTGGTCGTAACTCCAAGACAGTATTTCCATGAAATCATCATCATTTCCAGTGACTGCAGATTTCACATTTTCTGCAACATACTCCCAATTGGCTCGTGTCTTCTCCGCTTTGTAGAGGACACCACCAATTACTACAAGTGCAAGTGGAAGTCCTCTGCATTTTTCTGCTATTCTCCATCCAGTTTCCTCGATTTCAGGGGGACAACATTCGTTCCCAAAGGCCTTCTGGCACAGAAGACTCCAGCTTTGTTTGGGACTTAGAAAACCCAGATGGTGAATACAGGCAGAAGAGTCGACATTAACAGTGACACTGGATAGCCGAGATGTCAAAATTACCCGACTTCCATTATCGTCATCCGGGAATATCCTTCTAAATTCATCTAAGATTTTGTCATCCCACAAATCATCCATAACAATGAGATATCTATAGCCCTTCAAACGTTGATATACTCGTGTTTTCAATTCATCTGTTTCCTCTCGAATCATTTCTTCAGTGAAGTCTCCCATGGATTTTAGAAGGTGTTCAAGCAGTTCTTGCACATGATATTCCTGAGACACAGTTATCCAGGCCCGAATGTAGAAGTGATACTCAATAGATGAATCATTGTAAATATTTCTTGCAAGTGTGGTCTTGCCAATGCCTCCCATCCCAACGATAGAAATGAATTTCAACCTAGAGGATTGCCCAACCAGTTCTTCCTTAATTTGGAGCAAGTCATCTTCGAATCCCACCATGAACTTCTTGTTAGTGGAAGCAGATTTTGATGAAGTGGCATTCAAAGAGTTCCTTGGTTGCAGATCTAGTACGTCATTTCGGTCATTAGCATTCACCACCTCTTCTGAAAAAGAATCGAGATTGAAGAGATTGAAAAGATTTTGATTGAATGGTCTCAAAAAAATTGCTTTCTTAGATTATTCTCCATATTCTTTTCAAAAAATAGAGAAATTTAATATTTCTTCCAAGTAATATTTTAACTAACTTGTAACTATCTTGTACTTGCCATTAAACTTCTTCTTCCCTTTTTTTTTTTTTTTTTTTTTTTTTTTTTCCCTTTTTTTTTTTTTTTTTTTTTTTCTTTTTTATGATTTAAATCAAATTGTATGGACATATAAATAAAACTAATTCAAGCGATAGATAATTAACAACTAGCTACTAACGGTAAATTGCTGTAGCCATCAAGTGCAAATGTGACAAATTTTAACAAAGAAATGTACTTTAGTCATTAATTGATTTGATTTTGAGTTCGGTCAGTTTAATTAGTCTTACCAATGCCTTCTATTCCACTAAGCGGATCATTAATTCGCGTCAAGCCATCAGCACTGAAACCTTCTATGTCCTTCATGGCCTTCATCTTCTCCACCTCTTCCGAAATGGAATCAATCTCTTTTATTATCTTCTGTAAGCCGTCATATATCTCCTTAAAATTGTGTTTCTTAAATTCCATGCGCCTTTCAGAATTACGGAACACGGGCATCATAATTTGGAGTGCAGAAATTATTTCCCATAAACAAGTGATAACTCCTTGACAAGCAGAATCCGAGAGAATCGGATTTGACATATGCAATTCAGTTATGTCCTCTGCTTCATATGTTGCATCTCTGATTCTTGCTTCCAAACATTTAATTGATTCAGTATTTCTGGGTGAAAAATCTTCCAGAAATGATAGCAAGAAGCAAAGATTTTCATGGAAAGATCTGATCTGTTTCTCATCATGAAAAATTCGAATTTCATTGCGAGAACCCAGGATCTGTTCTAGTGTCTGAGTAAGTGAAAGTAAAGCAGCATAAGCCATATCCAATACTTTTCCAGGCACACAAACTCAAGATTTTCGATGAACAGCCAGCGTTTAGAGGCAAAATGAAGACTCGGTAAGAAAACTAAAAAATAACCAATTGTGTAATAGCAACTTGGAATTCTTAATCCATTAAATAAGCCATCACATGCAACTTGCTAGTTCTATAATTCAAAGTCGGCACAGTGACATATCATATTAAAACTAATCATTGCAGTCAAGTTATTTACGCGAGAAAAAAATATAACTTTCCATATTGTATAATATCAACTTGGGATTCTTAATCAATGAAAAAGCCATAATATGCAACTTGCTACTTTTATAATCCGAAGATAAGGACTGACATATTATATTAAAATTGTTATTGCAATCTAGCTGTTTACCAACTCGAGAACAACTAGTAAAATTACCTATTGTATAATAGCAACTTGGGATTCTTAATCAATTAAAAAGCCATCATATGCAACTTGCTAGTTTTATAATTTGAAGGTAAGGAGTGACATATTATATTAAAATTGATATTGCAGTCAAGTTGTTTACCTACTCGAGAAAAACTAGTAAAGTTGCCTAGTGTATGTATAATAGCAACTTGGGATTCTTAATCAATTAAACTATAAATCATATACAACTTAATAGCTATGTAATTCCAAGTCAAGATAGTGATATATTAGATTAAAATTAACATTGCAATCTGAAAAGCATGGGGGTACCATTCTGCTACCAATTGTGATAAAGATATTTAAGCCTATTTAACACCTAGTGGGGTGAATAGGTGTACAATGCTTAATTAAAAATAACAAACAAGAATAAGAAACAAGTCATTAATTATTGTCTCTAGACGATTAAATTTAAATAAGATATCACACAATTCAATCATATCTTCGGCTTCATATGTTGCATCTCTGATTCTTGCTTCCAAACGTTTCGTTGATTCAGTGTTTTTGGGTGAAGAATCGTCCAGAAATGATAGCAAGAAGCTAAGCTTTTCATGGAGAGATTGGATCTGTTTCTCTTCACGGCGAGAACTCAAGATCTGTTCTAGTGTTTGAGTAAGTGAAAGTAGAGCAGCATAAGCCACATCCAATACGTTTCCAGGCACACAAACTCAAGATTATCAATGAACAGCCAGCGTTTAGAGGCAAAAAGCCATCAATTCAACTCGCATATTATATTAATATTGATAGTGCAATCAAGTTGTTTACCAATTCGAGAAAAGATCATGCTACATGTACACAATCTTTTACCTATTAAAGCATCATGCTACACAAACTAGTAAAATTACCTATTACTATAAATTGATATTTCTATCAATTTAAAATTAAACAAGCAAATTTTTTTTTTTTTTTTTCTAGAAAACAGATTTCATATCCTCTAAATTTTTTAAACCTTATTACTCATTTTGTAAATTAATTTAGATCCTCGAAAATTTTTAAACCTTAGTACTCATTTTATTAATTCGACCAGGCTGGGAAAATATAAATAAATAAATAAATAAATAAAATATATATGTATATATATGCAAAATCAACCAAAATTTAGATCATTCCTTAAATCTACGTCTTGTTTTATAGTTTTTTAAGGGTGAACCCACACCCAACCTGAAAATCGGTCAGCACCTCAAAACTAAAAACTTTTCTTATGTTTTATAAATCAAAACAATTGAATCGGACGAAACATCGAGTAGTACCATATAAGGAATAAGGATAGAATTGATGTTTAGAGAACGAGGAGTAGCAGAAAAGAATATAAAATTGAGATTTTTCAGAGCTTCAAATAATGCTTCAGCAAAGCTCGCGGTTGAGAATTGTCAAATTATTTTTGCCTAAACAGGCACGTCAACTCATTTTTAGGTAAAATTGTAATGGTTGTTCTAAACATTTTAAAAAAGTGCAAGAGAGTCTCAAAATTTCAAAAATGTTCAATAAAGGATCTCTAGACAATTTTTGTTCAAAATTTCGTTAGTTGACGAAAACTCATGTTTGTTCATAATTTGATATATTTGGAAAAAAAACAAAAGTTACAATTTTAATAATTAAAAATTAAGAATAAATTAGCACTAGAACAATATAAATATCTTAAAAGCATAAATTAATGTACAATACAATATTAAACTAAGACAATAATTTAGTAATTTGTAAGGTCACTTTCATTTCCTCCAAGATCGTCCAAACTCCAAATAGTCACCAAAAAATAAGAAGTATCGGATGAATATACTAATTTCGATGAATAAGTTATAAACGAGTTGTCATTTTTATTATATGTATTTATTTTGTTTAGTCAATGTAATTTTTTTTTTAAAAAAAAAATTATGGTACTCTGTTTAATATATTTTTTTAATTTATTGATTTATGCAATATTTTAGTTAATTAAATATAACGATTTTAGTAATAGTATAACTTTTAATTAAATAATTTAAAATAAAATTTGGTGTAAAGTTTGGTTTCAGACCATCTCCAAATGGTTACACCAAGCATGAAAAAAAGAAAAAAGAAAAAATGCTCGAATGGTACAATCCCTTCGTCACCCCAGAATGAAAGCGGTGATCTCGTAGTTCTTGGTCTGTGAAGAAATTTACATCAAATGTGGTGTAAGACCATTGAAGGTCCACATCAAGTTTTACAATTTTCTTAGGGGCCAATCCACCCCAACCCCAAAACTAGTCAATACCCAAAAACTAGAAGGTTTTCTTATGTTATTAAAGTACAATAGCATATACGGGGTCTGTTGAATTTCAAGTATTCAGTTTCACCACTAAGATAAGAAGACTTACTTCACATTTCGTATTGCACAAAAAAGACTATTCATCTCAGAGAGGTTTGCAAAAAATTTTGGGAAAACGTCATGTACAATTGAGTCGAACTTTAGTTATTATGATTAAGGAGTAGCATTGAAAAACATAACATCGAGATCTTGCAACAGTTCAAATACTGCACCAGCAAAAATTTAGATAGACCAAAATTCTAGAAAAGAAATCCAAAAGATAGTAATAAAATAATGATTCTAATATTCTCTAGAATATCCTTGTCGTAATAGGACAGCAAAATATTTGATTTTTTTTTTTTTTGGCTTTTATTTTCTGAAACTCAATTTTTCTTAAATTTAATTTTAATAACAAATTGTAATAAAGTTTTAATCATATATTTATGAATTATCACCCAAAGATATTGAAATTTGATTTTTAGTTAAACCAAGCAATGGCGGTAGATGATTATTATTTTGTATAAATAGAATGTCCACAATTTCCACAAGACATTAATCCCCTGTTTGATAACCATTATTTGAAAACTACTATTTTTTGTAACACATTCGCACACTAAAATCTTTACACTAAAATCTTTTGTATGTAAACTCAAAATTTTCATTACTTTTTAACCACATATTCTCCTAAAAAATAATTATTCAAAGAATTGCTTTTACAAAAATGAGCATTCAACAGGGGTTAAAAGCCCATAAATATGTAGTGGAAGTTCTAAACATATAAAAATGAGTTGAATGGTTCCAAAAATCTCAAAAATATTAGATAAAAGGATCTCAGGTTAGTTTCCATCTAAAATGAATTTTTTGACTAGAAAGCAAAAATTTGATCGTAATTTGAACAATTTTATAAAAAGATAAATAAAATTTTAATATTTAATCAAATAAAATAAGGGAAATTGCAACCAGGATTTTAAACCTTTCAAAAAGTGCAACAAGGCCCTGAACTTTTAAGAAATATGTACCAAAAGGACCTCTAATGTTTTTTATCTCCGTCAAATTACCTAAAGTCAAACATCCAACCTTAATTTGACCAATTTTTAAAAGGACAAAATGATCTTTTGAAATTTAGTTTAATTAAAACAACTAAAAAATAGAAAAAAAAAATTAAAAGTGAAAAATGTTTTCTATTTTCCATTTTTATTTATTTTATTTGTTTCTTACTATTTTCAAATTGTATTAATTAACTAAATATTAAAAGACTATTTAGCCCTCCTTAAAAATGATAAAAATGATTGAATGTTTGTTTGTGATCAATGATAGATTTTTAAATGAAAATTGTTTGAAGTTTTCCTATGCACTTTTTAAAGATTTGGGATCGCTTCACACTTTTTTTTAAAGGTTTGGAGCATTTTCTTTATAGATTAATTGCAATTATCTTCTCTCTCATCCATGTAGTATATATCGCTTCCTAGGCCCTTGTTTGGGGCCTTTAAATTTTAAAAATATAATTTTGAATAGTATTTTTAGGAGACTATGTGATTAAAAAAATCGAGTTTACGTATGCAATATTTATTATATGAATATGTGATTGAAAATTAGTATGAGAAATAAATTAAAGTAATGTAAAGGGAATCAAACAAAGATGAAATTAATGTCTCATAATTTTATCAATTAAAAATAACTAAATATTAAACCTAATGAAATTTACTAATTCTACATCCATTGTTGCCCGCACCTACCAAGACCCAAAACCCTAAATTCAACAAAGAGGAAAAATCAACAAACCCATCCAAATATATGCATTTCCATAATATTATCATTAGTCGAAACATGGTTAAAACTTGTGCAAATTATGATGTGCATATTTTTTCTTTCTTGTTTGTTTTGTTCTCGAAAAAACAAAAAAACGAAAAAAACAAAAAATTAAAAATTAAAAAAATAATAAGAAGAAGAAAATTGGATGACGGATGCAGCACAAACCACCTCGTGTCAAGTAGTAATAGTGTTGTTTCTGTTTTTGTTTTGTAGAGGTTTATTTATTTTGTAATAAATGTATAAAAAGTGCTGGTTTCTAATTTAGTACTTGTTTGGCCACAAGTTCTTAAATTTATTTTTTCTCAAATTAATTTTCCATCACACATTTCATTCGATTCTCAACTTTTCAATTACACATTTTCATCAATTTTTATTAAAATCTACTAAAAATCTAATTTTTTAAATTCAAAATCAACAAGTGACTTTGAAATCGATTTCTCTATTCTCTTTTCATAGCCGAATGGGCAATGGTGACAGTAACAATAAAGAAAAACGACAATCATATATGCCACTTAAATTAAAATTATTTCTTAATATAGTAAAAATGTAATTAAAATGCCTCTACCTAAAAGTGAGGATCAGGCATTCAGGTTTAA